TGCATTAATCAGGGTGTCACATGACAGTTTAAAGCAATCATGTGACATGGACGAATATGGGTATGGATATGGACTTGGATCAACAATAGAATAAGAGGAAAACTTTTATCCACTTATAGAGTCCAGATCCAAATAAAGATTTGGATTAGGAAACTCCTAATTGGATTAGGAGAGCTGATCTTTAAGGCTTATAAATAGAGGATGGCGAACTGCTCCAAACTTCACATTTTTGCTCTTAGTTTTCTCACTTTGCTCTTGCTACCCAAACCTAGTTCGTTCTCCACTTCTTAGATTGATAGAGATTAGTTCCCACTTCTAAATTTGCAAGAAAAATCAGATTAATTTCGTACTCATCTCCCTTGCTCAATCCAAGCTGTTGAATTGCAGTTTTTGTTGAAGGACCGCGTTGTTGAATCAACTTCAATTCAAGTTGCACCATTTTCAGTGGAAGTTGGTTTTGGTATCCTCTTTGGGTGTGAATATCCACTTTGGGAACTACACGTGTGGAATCCGTATCAAGTATTATTTTCATTTTCTTTTGGTTTCATATATGATCCAGTTCGGTGTAAGAACGATCCTTGAAAAATGTAGTTTTTCTAAAATTGGGAATGCGATTCCCGAAAGGGTAAAAAGAAATTTTTTAAAATTCACCCTACCATTCAGTATGGTTTGACCATCCATATGATGGATTACCCCTTCCTTCAGGAGTTCTATTGCTTGCATCAAGCATAGTTGCATACACAATAACAAAGCGGGTGTTTAATTCCGTTTACGTTTATTGGGTAAACATTTTGTACTTGTATGGTTACAAAACCGAAAAAAGTAATTAATGAGGGTGTTTATGACACATAGGCGCCATTAGGCACCGCATTAGCAAAGTGCCAATAAACACATACTCGTTCCAGGAAACTCCAAAATGTAGCATCCTGAAACAGAAGAGGAGCATAGAAATCGATGTTTGCAAAAGCAAAGCAAACATCGATTACGTACGGATGCAATTAATGAGGCCTTTATTGACGTGGCACATGTGGCAGTGTTTACTCAATAAATGTAAACGGAACCAAACATATGGCAAAGATGATGAGAGTGAAATTCATTGCTAGAGGAGATAATGAAGAGGATGAGTAATTTGATATGGGTTTTGATTGATTTTTATTTCTTATTTCTTGCAATGCTAAAACGTAATTGACTATCCACAAGAACCTACCCGTGTCTCACCACAATTGTATAGAGGGAATATTTCTCATATTTACATATTGTCTGATGAGGGCAGATTTGGCCCTCCAGTGAAATTGCGACACGTGGCACATCGTGACAACTAGGCAAGCACCCAGGTAACAACTTACCAAGTTGGTCTCCCCCCTGGGCACCGGTCTGGCTGGCCTGGCGCGACCTGCACGCGGCCC